AAAAACAAGAGTGTGCAATGTGTGCAACGGCCAAACTGCCATTGCTGGTTTGCCTGCTAAACAGTTCAAAGCGGGCAAAGCAATTCCATCCATTCTGGTTGTGAATGCTTGAATGCTCTTCCCCCCTTCCGACTCTGCGCAAGAAGATCAAGACAAAGGGGCATGGCATGCTGCAAAGCTGAAAGATGCAAACATGCACATGTTCAATCGGTCCGTGGACCCCAAACTTCATCCTACGACTGGGGCTCTCCAACGCCTGAAATAAAGATGAATAACATTCTCTCATATCGTCATGCAATCAATCACCTCTTCAGATTCCTGCCGCCTCAAAACCTCTCCAGGACTACGAGATTTTTCTGCAGCATCTTCCTTTATGCGCACGTGGTCAATCCTACACACGGCGCCCCTCTTGGATTTCACTTACATGGCTGTTTTGGAAGAGCTTATATGACACGGCTTCACCTTGTAAAACTGCACCTTGGAAGTGCAAGTATGAAGCCACTGTAGTAATCAAACAAACAATCATCAAATAAGAACATATAACAGCCGTAGCTCAAATTTGGTGCGACGAGTGTGTTCATATTCTTGTGCTTTTTGTTGTGCGTGTGGTTGGCCTTTAGGCGGACCAATGACCAATCTGCTGTGCAAGAATGTTGCGTGCTCTGCATGCTCACAACAACCCAAAAAAGGTTGGCTCGACATCCTTCGCCTTGTGGATCATCCAGATTGCCCATCTAAACTTTCAACTTCCTGCCTGCCTCACTCCATGCCTGGACATATACCTGCTGATGCCCGAATTGGTCATATCTCCCTCTCACTTACTCTCTCACTGACTCACTCTCACTCTCTCTTGCAGGAATATACCATCCGTCATATATCATCTGTCCACTCCCCAATTTAATTTACGCATGAAGAGCCCTTCTGCTTATTCTTAGTTGCTTGAAGAGCCCGGAAAATCAATTCAAATTCAATCACACCTTAAAGACTTAAGGCAATGCCCCCAAAGTATCCTTGGATCCACCTGTTCTGCTTCACCAATGCGCACTGCCGCTCTGCAGGCGATCGGGCAAAAATCTCTAGACAAAGAGTCAGAACAAAGAATGGGAACACAAAAGAGGGCAGGCGCAACCATTCGCACCCAATGGAATCAAGGTGAAGATATCGCAGGCGTTGGCGGCATTGCTCTTCCAAAGGTACAGAGCCGAACTTTCGCTTGTGAAGATGAGGCAAAATGAGTATGCTTCCTCCAGAAGTTTTGGGGGCTGTCACTGTGGTAGCTCAAGTGTTTGGGAGGCTACAGCGTAAGAAGCGTTGTGAAAGCCCTAAGCAGGATCTCATTTTATCATATTTTCTCATATTCTGCCTCACTGTGTTCGTTCACTCACATACTTACGCCACAGACGTGTGCGTGAATCAACTCCCACAGGTAGACGGGAACAGCACAAAGCATGGCAAAGCTTGGCCTTGCATGCTCAGCTCACCAGAAAGACTCTTTCGGGAACAAAGAGTCATGCCTGCAGAAGAACTCACAACTTCATCTGCTCAAACAGTTCGTGTCTTTGTCTCGTAGTCAGGTTAGAAAGCTTGGAAACAGGTCGGCTACATTCGGTTGCAAGAAAATTAACCGGGCGGAGAAAGGTGCTGCTGGTGCTGGACTGGCACAAGTACTTTTGCAGGGCCTGCTTTCCAGGAATGATTTGGGCAGGCTACTTCTCCGAGCATCACTGTCACTGTTGATTATATACCCACTTCCAAGATCAAGTTTGGTTTAAGCGGCCAGTCGCAATCAGCAACTGTCAAAAAACTGAAACTCTGCACCCGAAACTAACATTTCGCAACCATCAGCTTGAAGCCCCAAAAGCCATCATGACATGATGCATGACCTAAATGCTGGTCTGTACGGGGAACCAGGGAGCCCCTTAAATATACTTGACAAGTATCAGGTTAAGTGAAGGCTGTGATTCTTTCATAAGCACAAAAGCAACATCCAAAAGAGTCCACATGGTGCCCATCATGCAAGGCTCTGGCGAAACCAAACGGACGTGATGCTGAGTAAGACCAGGCAGAGGGTCCTGCCGCATATATATATATATACTGTTTTTGGTACGGGAGACTAGCTCGGACAAATGTAGCGCCGGTTCTTTCCCTAATACCTTGACTAGTAGCTTCTAGCTACTAGTAGTAATGCCCTTGTTACTAGTATAGCGATGCCCTTGTTACTAGTAGCGCCGGTTGCTTGTGATCGCATGTTCCCTCTTCCCACATCGCAATCTCTTCAGATCTCTTCGGCACTAAGCTGCCACCATGATGGCGCTCTTGCCGTGGTAGTTTATGGCGTTGACCCCATGCCTCCACCGAAAAAGCTGACAGGTCGAGCTTTCAGTGGTGCAGTGGGAACAAACCAACATGCCAAAACACGCGAAAAGAGAACTTCGATCGTTTTCATGTGCTTTCCCTGTTAACTTCCCAACGGCCTGCAGGAGCAAAAAGGGAAGCTGTACCTCCCACACTCTGGTGGCTTTTCTCACTGAAATCGCTGGATGTTCTCACCATCCGGCCTCCAGAGGCCAAAATGTCCAAAGCGAGACAGTCAAACTGAGAATACACAAGTGCCCTAGCTGCCCTAGCTATTTGTTCATGAGCCATGTCTGCACCAGGTCAAAGCTCCACTGGCCTCCACTATCTCTTGAAGGCCTGAGTGGACGAGTCAAAGCACACAGAAACGAGACTTTGTAGTTGTCCGCCACAAAGTGCATTCCTAATTCTACACACGGACATTATGATGACCAGAAAAAATATGCGTTTGTAATATATACATAATCACCCACACAATTACAAGGATGTGAAAGGAATTCAGAAGTCTTTGATTGCTGTCTATGGGAAACACTGGATTGAAACTAAGTTTTGGCACCTTTCTTGCAAAGCAAAATTCAACTCTCACAACATATTACAGTAAGTACCATTCACTATCACTATCTGTGTGACCATTGTGCTCTCTTCTCTGTTTGCTTTCGGGGGCCAAGTTGCATAGGCCTCACCATCAGTCGCTTCCTCAACAGGCAGTCAGGACTCAGGACTATATATTGCAAACTTCAGACCGGCTCGCTTCTAAACAAGTGTGAATCGGCTCATCGAAGTGGTAGTTTTCAAACACAAGAACCAGCAATGATGGCCATGGGCAAGAAGAATGGCGGACCAATGTGTTCTTTGATCGCATTGGTCCAAAAAATTACCGTTCAAGTTGAAATGGTACAAAGCTGGCTTGTTTAGTGGCGACAAGATGATGTCTTTCGTCAAGACGTGTGACGTTCTTTCCAAGAGTCGACTCCATCGGACTGGCCGAACGCACCGGAGGTCGTGGAGTGCTCCTCGGTGACCTTGGACCGAAGCAAGGACCTGGTGCTTTAGCGAAAAAAACAGCTAGGACAGCCCGTGCTGTGGCGAGTCCACAAACGAGCCCCCCAAAGTGTCCAAGTGACCTCGTCCAGTAATCCTCACCTGGCGTCGAAATGAGAAGACAATAGAAGAAAGCAAAAGGGCAGCCGGAGCTGTCAGGAGGAAAGCAGGCCACCCAAAAAGAGACAACACTGTCGAACAAGTCCAACACACACGCCTCGCTCAATAAGAATGATCAACTATCAAAATGTTTAAGCCAAGGAGAAAAAAACCTTGGTAAATCACAAATGAGTTCAACTCTGAGATTCAATACATCGGCAAGCATGGCCTCCATCCGCAAGTGCTGCCTGCATCTGACGAGCTGAAGCGGTGCTGATCATGCTCAACTCACTTGCAGCACGACTGCGGCCTGCACAAGTTCCATCGTTGGCAATGTGCGTGCATCACATGTCACTATGTAAGTCAATGCATGTCAATATCACCATTTCAGGCAGTTCTGATCCCACCTTGGCAGGAATCTATTGCAGACCTCCACGATTCCCAGGACGCGGTATCATCAAACTCATGCTCAAAGGCTGGGGTTTCATCATCACCATCCCACCGTCGTACTAGGCGCCGCATCCGACCATCTTTCACCACATTGGTGAAAACGCAGGTGTCTTGCATCCCGCGCTGCAAGCTCTGAGAGCCTTGCAAGCTCTGCAGCTCCGGTCGCTCCATTGCACAAAATCACTGGAACTGGACGGACTGAACAAAAAACATCAAAGCGTTGCCTGGAGCCAGGAAAGACTGCAACAGGTTCCCCCGAGATCCCGAGTCGAGAACGGGAACCGGTCCCAACGAAACACGGGATCTCACTGCCAACTGATTCTTCTGGTCAACGCACCCCTCCGCCCAATTGAGAAACATGCGAAACATGTCGCCTGCCAAAGGTGTAAGGACAAGAGCCCATCTCCTGGAACGTCCAACGTTTGCCATCACGCATTACCCCAAAAATATTCTCGATCGCTTCTTCCGAACGCGAGACGCAAGAATCAAATCAGATCAACATGACTGCACGGTCAAGCCTGGCAAACACATGACTGCACGATCAAGCTGCTGCTGCCTGCGCGCTAAGAAACTCAAAATAGAGGCTATCTGGTCATCACATGTCATCGCTGTCATTGTTGTCGCAGTTGCTGCGGCTCAACAACATCAGAACTCTTCATTTCAAAAGTGTTTCTGCAAGCCTGAACTAGCTCATGCTTATCATGCGGTCCTACTAGCACAAATCCAGTATTGAACCTCGGCGACCTGTTTGAAAAATGTTATTTCATGTTCTTTCTCAAGTTTAAAGCGGTGCTCCGCCGCCACACTGCTTCTGTCAAAAGGGTGCAACATTGAAATGGGAAGCTGCCAGCACATGCCTGTTTCAAACATACATGGAGCAACACAGGAACTGGAGCGTGAGTCTGTCGGTGCCTGTATCTGCCACCAGGTCAAAGACTTGCGGTGGTGTTCCCACCTCGGACAGACGATCCTAAAGAGACCATGTTTAGGTCTTCGTCTTCGTATGTCTTCAACGCTTGCTCCCGGTTCGGCGGAAACGGTGCCGCTTATGGCGAGTCTGGCACACAAACACAACGAGACACCTCCTCGTGATGCCTAGAAACAGCATCTCTTGGCCATCCCAGTTGTACCAGAATTAGAACCAAAGAACTCCCCTCGTTGGACTGAGGTGTGGGAAGCTTAGGAAAAAATTACCTTGAAGGTTTGAAGCCCGGGAGATTCTAATCTCTGACCAAGTTTGACCACTCAAGAAGCATAGGTTCTCCGATCAACGGAAGGGCTAGCATCCGGGAAGCTGTATTACCGTGAGCATCGCTACTAGGGTGGGGGCCAGCGCTCTTAGGTTGGAGGCCATCGCTATTAGGTTCCTTTTGCTGGCGTCTGCAGTCTCTAAGGCTGTGGCCTTCACTTCTACTGTTGAGAAGATGTTCCTGTTCCTGTTGCAGTGGACAACCACTCAGATCGTCAGAAATCTTACATATATATATATACTGTATATATACAGTATATATATATACTGTATGTATGTGTGTGTGTGTCGGTGTGTGGGTGGGCCATGAAGTTCAGCATCTTGCCAGAGGAACTGAAGTAGAGCGTCCAATGACTTAGACATGTTATATCTCCATCGAATCGAATAGCCAAACAATATGTCATAGAGTCATACGGGTATGGATGAAACGACACAAACACACAAAAAAACAAGAAAAGCAACGGTCGGCTGAGGAAGTTGTTCCACAATGGAAGTAGCTCTGTGAAAGCTGCCTCAACGCCGTGCATGTGCTCCCTGCGCCCCTCAGGGGCGAAGCAGCCTCACCAGTTCCGAACACATCCAACCTAGAAGCGATGGCCTCCAGCCCAATAGAAAACTACATTAAACCGTTCTTCCTTTTCTTGCTTCTGTGTTTCTAATAGTGATGGCCTCCACTCCAACCTAGAAGCGATGGCCTCTAACCTACTAGCGATGGCCTCCTGCAGCAAATCATTGTTCACGCAAAATCTCTGTCAAACCTCGTCTACCCCTGACCGAAGACAGTCAACAGCCAACAATACAATTTTAACCTTCTCGCAGGCCTTCCACGATACACTTGCATTGCAGCTTGCACAGGAGAATCAACTATATATAGTGAAGCCACCCTGCCCTAGCCAAGCTGCGATTGCAATCAGGAGCAACAGCATGCCATAGGCAAAGAAAACCTTGCATAATCACTGTCACTTGGAGCGAAAGTTGACATCAAATTCCGGAGCTCAACACGCAAGTGCTCCAAGCAGTCAAGAAAATGCCTAACAAACATGCCCCGTTTTCCCTGCAATCATATCAATACGGTCAATATATGCGTCTGTGTATCTAAATATCTGTTGTACAGTTACATACATATATACAGTAAATATACAGTAGCTATTTGTAATATATGTCACTACAGTCCTACCTCTTGGCCTCATGGCCATCCAATGTGCAAAACCAGGCTCCGGGCTGCTCAATTCGCAGTCCCAGCAGTAAGCAAGGAAGCAGCATCCATGATTGGTAAAGTGGCTGCAGTCAAGTTGGGCATGGGCCACAGTGTTCGATAATAAAGGCCAAGGACGCTCGAGATGAGACCTGCAACACTAACCTTCAGCACATGTGCTACCCACCATCTAAATCTAAGCTGACCCATGTCCAGGCTAATTGCAAAGCTTAGCTCTAGTCCAGTCGTTGCACGCCATTGCCTTTGTGGAAGGAAGGCCGTCCACCTGGCCAATGCAAATGCCAACAACGCCACCTCAAGACTCAAGACATCCTAAGTATTGCTTCATCTGTGCGACAAGGATGCTGCCTGCAAACGCTGATTGTTGTGCGTGATGTTACACATATTTGTTCTATGAGCTTGAGATTTGTAGGTCGGATGGGTCTATATAGACTCGACTTCCACTAAGGAACTTTCCGTGGCCAGTGCGGGCCTTCTGTACAGGGAGGTGTGGCCTCCTGGGTAATCAGCTCGCTGCTGCTGTGCTTCCCTTCGGCTTGTTGTCTGCCACCTCCTCATCTGACTCCTCGTCATCAGACAGCTCATCCCATTTGCGGTCATCATGGATGGAACCAGTGTCTCCAAAACCACCGCCAATATCCATGTCTCTGGCCTTTGGCTTGATGATTTCGGGATCTTCGTGCGCTTCCTTGCGCAAGCCATTCTCCTTCCAGGCTTTCAACAAGGCCAATTCTGCTTCTTCCACCTGGTCGGGCGTGCAGGCTACTGTCCAAGCCTGAGTCGTGGTCATGGATCTGAAGAGCGAGAAAGCATCGCTTGGAAAGCCCTCAGAGAAGTAGCCTCCCTGAACTGCCACTGCCTTTAAGACCTCCGCTGGCAGCATATGCCTGTCCTTCACGCACAGGAAGTATGGAGGATATTCTGATTTCTCCAAAGCCATGGACAGCGCCTCTGCATTTGCATGGTAATGGACCCTCCACTGGAGCTGGTTTTGCACCACCTTGACGAATGACTTGAGTGGGTCAGTGATCCGGAGCTGTCCGGCCTGCGCGGCATCCAACAAGTGCAAATCTGCTGGGACCTCCTTAAGAGGAGACATGGCACACAAGGCCGCCATCTGGACGATCTCCTCCGGCAGCCCGACACCGCGCGGGATGAGGAAGTGCTTGCGAGTGGGTCTTAAAGCCTGCAACGTGAGCAGCTGACTTCGGCCTTCAGAATTCACCAGGCCTTGTCCCGCATATGGGGCTGTGACTTCCGGCATGAAAGCCTTGAAGACCTCCAAGACATTTGAGATCTGCTTGGAGAAGCTCTGTTGATCCCGTGGGGACAGGAACTCCAAAAGCATTTCAGCAACTTCCGTCAGTTCATACTGGGCGAACGCCTCCTCCTGATCCCGCCAGCTTGGACCTCTGCGCTTGGTGTTCTCAAAAATCGTTTGAATGGTACCAACGCCCTCATGATCTCCAGCCACTGCATAGGTATAGCTTTTCATCCCTCCAAAGGTGCTCTCAGGCAGCTTGGCCCCCGTAGTTCCTGCTCGTGCTGATGCACTGCTGGTGTTCTCTGGCACGCCGACAAAGTACAAATTGGAGGCCTCCTCTCTAACACCTTCCAACGCCTGGGTGATCGAAGGAGCAAAAATGCAATGTCCCAAGGATTGGTTGGTGGAGAGCTTCACTTCGTCCTTGGCTGAAGCCAAAATGGTCTTCTCCCACCACTCCTGGAAGTTCTCGGAACTGGTCTTCACTTCCAGATTCTCTGCCTTTCCATCTCTGAGGAGAATATCCAAAGTGGTATCTGAGGGATCACGCCCAGCTGTGAAGGACTTCTCGGCCTCGAGTAGCGCACTCTTCACGGTATCTGTTGTATCCAGCGCAGGGTCAAACTCGACCATGGAAGCAGATGTGCAAAGCTCACCATTGTTCGCCATAGCTGCCCATGTCGTACCCATGGCCACTGCTGGATGGGATGCCTTCACCCCATCCAAGCGAACCTTGTTGAGACCACTGACTTCACCTGCATGTTCCATTCGAGTATTTCCTAGCTCAATGGCCTTCGTGACCAAGCTCTTGAACATGGCAGAAGAACCGGTGAACTGAAGCCGGTCGATGTGCTTCAGCACTTCATACAAAACTGCAGGGTCGGCCTCTGGAGTAATTCCAGGGACCACCTCTAAGATGCCCTCTGGGAGGCCACAAGAGCTAAGACTCAACTGGATCTCGCGGAAGTGTGGGAAGAAGCGCGGCTGCACCACGAGAAGCACCCGGAAGCCCTGCAAAAGCATGTGGAAGGCATCCTTCAGTCCCAAGAGAGCAAAATTGGAGGGAGGCATGACCAAGCAATCCCGTCCTTCTCCTGAACGTATCACCTCAAACTGAAAATCTGATTTGCTCGACTTCAGGGTTGCTTCAAATGCCTTCAGGGACAAACGCATGAGGGCTGCAACCTCTCCAAATTCACCCTCGCTGTCAGCAATGGTTTTTGGGCCCCATGCAGTGAGCATCGCAACATGATGCGATGATTTTCCCACAAGCTCCTGGCTCAAGAACTTCTCTAGAATCTCCGCCAGTTCATCGCCTTTGGGTACAGCTGGCTTGTCCTCTCGTTGGAGAAGACTGCTGATATCTTCTACGTTTGGCAAAGCCACGCGCACACTGCGCTTGGGGCTGTTACCTTGAGGTCCTGTGGGCGTCTTGAAGGCTACACTCTTCCGGTCTGGTGGCAAAGCACTTCCAAGGAGCATCACCTCCATTTCTTCCTCTGAGTCTCTAAGCTCATGGCTCAATCTTTCAAGCACTGCAGATCTATCAACTGGTGCATCGGCCTCGGCTACGATGCTTGCCGTGATCTCTCTGCTCTTCACTGCATCACGGAGGCTCTGCGTGGCCGCTCCGAGGGCACTCACGGTGGGTTTGGCTGTGGTCACTGGCCGGAGGCGAAGGCGGAAGGCGCTCCGTGGCGGAAGGCGCGCGGTCAGCGCTCTGAAGGCATAGCGCCTCATGACTCCTGAGAGTTAGCTCTACACTTTGAGCCCTAGCGGCTAAGCAGCCGAACTGCATGCGGCCTACCCTCCACTAAACACGTGCAGCTCGTCTTGGCATGCTTGTTCTGGAGAATGCACCTGCACAGTGCTGGCTGAGCTTTGAACCCATCACGCGAGGAAAAATCTCCATATCTGTGCCTCAGTTGGGAGGCTTCGTAACACGTATATAGATTGCTACAAAAGTCCCCTCCATCAGACTGGATTGTACTGGGAGATGCCCGGCGTAACCCTGCGCTCTGCAACACATTCTCAACTTCAAATCGCAGGGATCGCTTCTGTGCATGCTATTAGGAGCAAGGACGCTACTGGGGGCTCCTGGCCTTACTACTAGGAGCAAGAAGCTACTAGGAACAAAGGGCATCGCTTCCCAAAAGCAAGGACGCTACTAGGTTGGAGGCCATTTTACCTGTGTTCCTCTCGCTTGCAGGCTGGGTGATTGACCAGTGTCGTGCAGATCGAGGCCTGCCAGTCTCGTTCGGTCGATGTGCAACATCGACCAAACACACCGAAGTGGTTGGCCCAACGGCCACCATAAGGCTGTCCCGGACACACTGATCAGACCGTTCTTGGATGGCCAACCGTGGACACGGGCATCTTGAGCGCCTGTGCCATCCGGATCGAGCTCTTCTTTCACCTCACATCGAGATTCTCCAACTGCAATCACTAAAACCTGAGGCAACCATTGTATAATATGACTAACTATGCCGGCCAATTGTACTTCCCACGGTTATATAGTTATCATTGTCTGTGAACAGTCGACACACAAATTGACTATGAAAACATGGCTCAGCTTGACTTCATCCCATCGCTTGGGAGCCATGCTCGTCGCACGGCAGCCATAAAGCGCCGACTTTCCGGCTCCGGAACTGTCCCAGCCTCAGTGCATATCGCTATGGCATTCGGCCATCGTGAACATGGCCTCCATTTCAGTCCTGACATCATATTTCTTTAAAATGAAGGCAGTCCTATCCGAAAGCAGCGCGTTGGATGTGTGCTAGTTTGCATAAAGCAAACGAATCTCTTGAGATTCGGGCTGGATCATTGCGGGCCATGGTTACCTGTCAAATATTGTAGGCCAGCATGGCCAACTCTTGGCCAACAATCCAGTGATACTATTACCTATATGAGACTTGTGATATCCTACCTAATATGGGCAATCATGCAGCATCGCGACAAGTTGGATAGAGTTTTCAGGAAGAAAAACAGTTTCAATATACTGTAAGTTGTTTGGAACCAGCTTGTCCTGAGTTCGTCCCCTTTGACATCGCAACTTGCCTCGCCAAACTTTCGCTGCAGACCGGAGCCGATGCCTAGGAACTTGGTGTTGCCAGGCCTCAGATCTGGATCGAACTCACACAGATTCTCGGTTCAAGAATGCTTTCGCCTACTTGGACATCACATCGAGAATGGTCCAACATTCATGACGATTCAAGAGGTCATGATATCAAACGATCACTTTGGCTCAGAACCTTCAGCAACTGTCGAGCGAGAACTGGAGAGGCCCGGCTGCTGACAGAGGGCCAAGATGCGGCGGTGCAACTCCTGGTCAATGTACAGTACAATCAATGCATTCAAAATGCTTTAAGAACGCCCAGTGAGAGTCGTATTTTGATTAGGTGGCCATCACTTCCACAATCTTCGGGGCTGTTGAGTCTCATCTCAAGCAGATTCCAGGTCCTCCACAAGCTCGCGCTGCCTCAGCACTTTTGCATCGGTGAGTGCGTTCGAGCAGACAAACCCTCCAACATCCTCCAACAACTGGGTCTTCGTCTTCGCTGATTTGTCCTCTTCCTGAGATCTTCCTGGGATTTCCTGGGGAATTGTGACCGCTTCCTCTTTCCATCAATGTCACAATGACAGTAGTGCTTCTTGTATCCCTGTCACGGGTAGCCAGTTACTGCGCTGAAGGGTAAAAACACGTTCTTTGTTCAAATGACTCATCTGTACACTAAGAATGAAGGTACAACAAGAAATCCCGGCTCATTCAGGCCCCATGACTCTTTGGGAAGCTCTTCCGCTTCCAGGAGCTGCTGAGTTGCGTCCTTGGCGCTGTCAGAAATGCATCAAGAACAAGAACAGAAATGCATCATGATTATATCATGGAATCATGCAAAAGCATGCAAAGGCTACCTGGTCAAACATTCACATGCTGCTCTGCTGTTAGTATTGAGGCACATGTTTCCACTCAAGTGCTGTGTCATGCACTCAAGCAGTGGTTCTAAGTGCCAGTCACTGTAGTACTCACGGCCTTTGGAGCCTGCTTTCTCACACGCTGGCACACGATGGCGAAACGAGGTGTTCGAAAGCTGGGACTGACTGGACTGACTCTTGCCCTGGAGAACCTCCGCCTTGGATATTCTTCTTGGGTCAACAGGCCCCCGAGCCGCCCCGAGCCCCTCCTGTGTAGATAAAGTAACCTCTGGGAGCCACACCTCATGCACCAGGGGAAGAAAAGGCAACGATTGACGATGTTGCATTCACGCACTGCATGTTCATCCCTCCTGCTACTGTGTCCTTTAGCGCGGCTCTCAAGTGTAGACTCAACTACCCGGCTGCTTGTCATCCAAAAGAGCTATATAAGCAATGGTGACATCCATGTCAGTAGCACGAATCAAGGGCTTGCACCAGAAAGTTATCCAAATCAGGCCCCATCTTCAAAATCTTCACGATGAGATCACTTGATAATCCATGCTGGTCGGACTGCACACTGATGCAACGGATTAACATGTTGCCTCAGTTTCCCGACATAGCTCCATGAGCCCCTCTGCGCTTGGACGCCCTCCCAGTGGTGCAGCCGTGATGAAGACCTGGCACGTCCGGGCCGCCGGACGGTGCTTGCTAAGACGCCAGGGCCAGGGTTCTTCCAGTGCAGGGAGAGTTTGGAGATAGGACCCCACTCCAGATCCTCAAGACATCCGCCGACTAACGAAAACAATACGACATGCCAAAATGTCACTCCATCGTTCGCTCATCGGACTTGTCAATCTTGTCAGGCACCGCGTTGTCAACGCAGTGCCGGGAGAAGTTCGAAAGCCACGCTGCATTGTAGGCCGACCTGCTGAGGAACAAGAAGCTACTAGGGGCTCCTGGCATCGCTACTAGTAGCAAGAAGCTGGAGCATGATGCGAAGGCGGTTGAACGGCGGGGCGGCAATGTGGTCGTTCAGCGGTTGAGCTCCCGGCTGGACGCTGGAGGCATACCGGTCGCAGTAGTTGTTGGTCGTTCCATCCTCTTGAACAGGTTGGTCCAAGTTTCACAAGTTAGGGATTGCCACTCTTCTGCATGTGTCTGCCAGACTAGATCGCTCCCAGCACAAAAATCACTGGCAAAAGACGGGACTGACGAGTGGTCCCTGTCTGTGATGAGATTGCGGAAAGGCTTGGGCCGGCCTTAGGCGGATGGCACGGGACGAATGGACCACTCCACAAGCCCCAAATCCATCCCACCCGCCTCTGAAAGTATGTGACTGATGCTTCCTACATGTTGCAGGATGCCTCTGAAACCGATGCTGGTGGTGCCAATCAATTTGACTCGGCATTTGCCGTGTGTGTCACATCGCCTCGATCATCGTTCGATGACGATCTCCTATCTCGTCCACACCGATGAGACTTAGCAGGCGACCCTCCGATGATGCCGCCTTGCGCAGCACATCCAAAGAGCGACCCACAATGACCTGCGAAGATGCTGGTTGACCCCCTATATTGTGTGTGTATTTGGTTTTCCAAGTGTTAAAGCCCGGGGGGGTAGGCCGGTAGAAGAGGTGGTAGCTGGTAGCTTAAGTAGCTAGTAGGTACAAGATGCTTCTAGGTAGGACGCAGGATAGCTCACGCTTCTTGCAGGAAGCTCCCCCCGCTGCCTTCCTTGAAGGAGTGCTCGCACTATTCATTTGGTTCCTAGATTTTTAGGAAAGCATAGGGTTGTGTCCACCAGAGGTGGCTTTATCTAGAAATCCAGAAACTTAAAAAAAAAAAAACTAGAAAAAAAGCAAACCAAAAAAGCACCAGCAAAACAAAGAGCAACCAAGAAAGCAAAAAAAGAGCAAAAAAAAGCAACCAAAAGTGCAACCAAAAAAGCACAAGCAAAACAAAAAACAACCAAGAAAGCAAAAAAAATGCAATAAAAAAGCACAAGCAACACACAGAGGGTAGTTTGGAGGGGCCGGGTAGGGTTAGTACTGGACAAGGGTCTTTTCTGGTGCCGGGTCAAATGTCGCACTTTTGGTCGTTTTTTCCCATCTTTTCCCGGCGCCCGGTAAAAAGTCGCACTTTTGGTCGCTGTTTTTTCGCTTCTTTTTTGTCGCTCTTTTTTGCTTTTTTTGCAAAAAAAATAAAGCGAAAAAAGCGCGAAAAACACCAAAAAAAAAAACAGTGCGACTTTTTACCCGGCGCCGGGAAAATATTGGAAAAAGTGCGCCAGAAAGTGGACCCTTCCAAAAAGCGCGCGAGAAAGCCCGGCTGAGTTGTTCCATTTTTGCTTGCAATTTTGTTTGCTTTTTCTGGCTTTTATGATTACTTTTGTTTTTCTGGTTTCATTTTGGGGTTGCTTTTTGTTTTGCTCTTTTGTTGCTTTTGTGATTGCTTTTGTTTTTCTGCTTGCATTTTGTGATTGATGTTCTGTTGTTTTTTTGTTGCTATTTTTTCAAGATGCAAAACTTCTAGAATAAAGGGGTCTGGCAGACACAAGCATAGGGAAACTTAGGTGAGAATGGACCAGTGGTTGAGCTACCTTCCTTGCTTTGAGAATCGAGATGCAAATCACCTCAATTTCCATAACACAGGCACATACAGGCACACAAGGGCGTTCTCCCAATCACTTCACTCAAAGCAACCATGGCTGGAGGAGACATGGGAAGATTGTGCCCAAGGGAAGTCCCTGCTGCCGTTCCTCATGTATTGTTCAATCAGCAACCTCTCATCGTCTCTCGAGCAGTTTGCAAGAGCAGCTTGGAAGGGATTGGCTTCCACCCATCCCAGGAGGCAATTCAGGCTCCGTTCCTCTGTGCGGAGCCACAGCCAACCCTCCCGACAAATACAAGCGCGGCACTTCCCAAGTGGGTATCTCCTTCTCAACCTCAGCCAGTGGTCGTGAATGCTGACTGCTGCATACGCAGGCAAGATTCATATTCTAGTATGGGCGTCACCCATGGCACTAAAAACATGCAAAAGTTCAGCAAACAACCGGAATCTTTTCCAACGCAACGTACAAGCGTTTCAGCCCCCTAAGCTTGTATGCCGGTGGTCTAGACTTCTAAACACGGCTGGTTGGGAGAAGCTCTTCTTTCAATTGAATTTCAAGAACTCTTAGGTTTCTACATGCCAGTGGAGCTTCGCCCTCGCGAGGTATGCATCGAGTGCCCCCAGACCCTGCACTCAAAAGCCCTCACTGCTACCCTCACTGGCAGCTCGCTTTCGACGTTGCCGGATCTTGTTCTGAAAGACTTCCTGTTCAAAACGGTCAGCACTGCTGAGCCACATTGAATGAGATTCACAAGCACTTGAAGCCCGGATCAGAATGTCCTCAACATGACCGTCTCGTACATGGCACACCTCGCTGGCCGACTCAAATTGGAGATCCAAGTCTAGAGATCTTTGCAAAATGGTCGGGCAAAACTGCAACATATGGTTGATACAGTAGGTGCTTCTACTTGTGTTGGCCTTCAAGATGTAAGGAACTTATGCACGAAACACACTATATATCATATATCTATATACTGTATACCGTGTGTTCGCGGTTTTCACTTTTCACCACGGTGTCCATTGAATGAATTGCAGAAGGTGAAGACGATCCCTCAACATGAGCCATTCAAGGCCATGACCACCCTTGGAAGTCTTCTTTCGTTCGATTTTGCCTCTGCTTCTGCACCAGCAGCTCGAAGCGTTGACAGCCATAGCCTTTGCCTGGCGTGAGATGCCCGGCTGAGGATAGAGCTCCAGAGGTATCCTCAAGGCTGTGTATGTGCATGTTCCATCTTCACATGTGCTTTTTGTCCCGAACCTGTCCAATAATCCAATATGTCAATATGTAACATCTTATCCTCCAGGATAGTATGTTGCTCTCCTACAGAGAGGCTTTCATTCTGGTGGCAGGTGGTTGTTGACCGCAACAAAGAAAATGGCCGCAGTTTGAATGAATGATGACCTTGCAAACCCGAACGAATCCATACAAATTCCTCTTTTCTCAGGGATTCAAAAAATGACCCCCAAAGATTCTTCGCACCCGATGGCAGTCCCGTAATCGCCTCCTGGCCAAGGTGTCGCGTTCACTCTTCACCTCCACAAAGCGCGCCCGTGGGGATGTGGACTGCCAAGACCAAAGCCTTCGTCGCAAAGTCAACCAGTCACGAGGTCGCGAGGTCTGTCGCTCAGTCAGCGATTCCGCCCACGCCCACCCCGTGGTGAAGTCCCAGTGGCAATAGATCTGGTAGCCCTGCAGAGTTGTAGTCTTCACCTTCCAAGTCAGAGGATCTATGAGAGGGGCGAGTGAAAGAACAAGCTATACCAGGAATGGATGTGCAAAGCTTGCAGGTTGCGTACCTCGAAACTCAAAACCCGAGATTGCAAATGGGGTTGGATGGTCGGGCACATGATGCACCGCACAATATTTCCAATAGACACCAAAAATACACCAACAATAGCCATAGTTTAGCATGCCACTAGGTGCCTCAGCAGGTGGTAAACAAACTTGATACTCTTCAAAAAAATTGGAAAGCCACCATCCACCGAAACTCTCTGCAAGTCATCACTGAGCGGCACAGAAGCCGCAGTGCCGCCGCCAGGGCCCGGCCACCCATCGCACCAGCAGCAGCAGCGAGATGTCGATCTTCTGACGACACCTGCAACGAGGCGAACGACGATGGGTCGTGACCCACCGTGTTCGCCCGACGGTCGTCCACCGGTCTGCGAACGACCAACACTAGAGTGGTCAACTACAGTAAGGTATCGTGGTGCCACAGCCCAAAGGATGTGAAGATTATATAATCACAAATATCGGTAATGACTATAGTAGCAAGGACAATTGCTTCTGTCTGCTGTGGTGCAGAAAACCATGAGGCCAACGCTAGCATGATCAGAACCAGAACAGCTTCTTGAATCATGTAATCCACGCCATCCCAAGAGACCTTGGACACATGCTCCAATGTGGATGCTTCCAAGTCAAACCATACCAGGTCTACACACTACACTATTCTCTCCAGAGTCTGCGGCCAATCGCCTCCACCGCGGAGCTGGTGCATAGCACTCGGCTCCGTGTTGCAGCTTTGGTCACTTCCTTGGCGAAGTGACACCGCTCGACTCGGTTGCATCATCTACTCTTAGTCACACCGGTCGACTTGGCCAAGACTCGTCGGCACTTGATTCACTTTCCCCCTTCTTTTCGTCGTTGGGAGAAGGAGGATCGCTTGATGCAGGCCTCAAAAGCTCCCGTCAACAACCCAAGATAGCTACACCGCCGGCTCCGCATCTCCAACGGGACTTTCAAAAGGGAAAAAAGTTTACCATCATAGCAGTAGTCCAGTAGTGCCTGCAAAGAAATATGAAACGTTATTGAAAATCTGGAGCCAACTCTACACCACCTGCTTTGTCAGTTGTGCGACCATGCTGCAGGAACATGCCTGTGGCATCATATCGGTCCCATCGAACACCACGGATCCGCCAGCCCTGGAGGCGCCGAAAGTTCTGTCGGACGTCTGCTGCGACATCGCCTGAGGCAAGGTTTACCAATAGATCCACCTTTGAGTAGCAATGGCCTCCACCTAATAGCGATGGCCTCCACCTAAGATGAACCATGATGAACCCATCTTATTTCTTGTGCTCTCTTTCCACAATCAATTCTCCTCACTCACTAGAGGACCGTCGGACCGTCACCGCAAACTGCGTCGCCGCAATCTGCGTCGACGCCTGCAGACATCGCTGCCAACTCACCAAGGCCTCGGTGGGCAACGAAGGGGAAAGAAAGCAGTCCTAAGATTCTTGCGGGTCCTAAGAGGTCCGCATCTTGAAGGAGAAAACAAAAAGGATAACAAAAAGGTCTCTAAAATTCGCGAAGCGCCACGTGGCTTCGCACGAGACCACAAGAGATCACAAGTTAGAGAGACAAATGACAAAGGTAGCTGCCAAGGCTGGCACGTGCTTCGATGGCGGTGGATCGTGATGGATAGAATGCCTCCGAAGAGAAAAACAACGAAAAAAATTGAAAATTGCGTGTACATCGCGCGTTTCGGTGTGGATAATAGATCAGCGATGGGCAATGGGCAAAACCTGTTTTTTTCATCCTCAGTGTTGCAGCTCTGGCTGTCCTTGTGAGTGTGGTATTACAAGATTCCTTTATAATCCTTTTGCACATTTTGGCTCCAAAATGCTGATGGAATGTTTCATCACATGCGCAAATGGGATCTACTAGTAGCACATTCATGACATGTGTTTTAAAGCTTTGACTCTCTTGGCAGCTGGCACACTGCCAACTGAGCATTGTTCAAACCTTTTGTTTGGAGCAAAGCTGCGCTGCTTGCGCAAGTTCTTACGCTTCGCCTACCCAAGTGGCACTTCGGCTTTCCCACCATGCAGGGGACATGAATTGCTTGTGTTCCTCTTACGCCAAACAGTTAGGACAAACTTTCTGCACCACAACACACCATGAGAATATGCACTAGAAAACCCAAAGCAAATAAGCAAACACGTTTACACATGGCTTGCACACTTTGCTTAACGCTAGTCGTCCGATACCTTCAGGCCCAACTCAACAGGCAACACCGAGGGTCTCATTCTCTGCACTTACTGCGGGCGTTGCAAAACGGACCAAGTGATTCACTCGAGATTTACATAGATTTACAATGCTTTATAATATATACCATGTGTCGTGCTATACGGAAGCGACTAAATGAGACGACACCCAACACAGGTACGTGGCTCAACTGAAACCAAAGAAGAGTGATGAAGAGTACATGGTTGAGTGATGTTGAATGTCCGTCTGTGCTGCCAAAGGGTGCTAGGAAGAGTTTCCTTGGACCCTCCCTTGATCTGGAACCCGAGCTCAGTCCCACCTCAGTGCCCAAATCCAAAGGTGCGTCCTGCCAAAGCACAACCAGATTTGCTCAGTCTGGGGTGATCAATGCTGCAAGACAGTAAGCATGGGGCTCCAAATCTTTTGCCCTCATCGCAGGCATCTCAGCTTAGATGCCCAAGTGGGTGGAAAAATGATGTCTCCCAAAACTTTGCTGCTTGTGTACCCCTTCAAGCTTTGTGAGAAAGGGGAGGTGCAACCTCACGACTCGAGTTTCAGTCACGCAGCCTTTTTTAGCGCTGGACTCGTCTAGCCGAAACCTCTCCAGGTAGTGGAACAGGCTCCAGGCCTCTGCCAACTGGCAGCAACCTGAACCAATAGTGTCCGATCTCTGGTTGTCACCGATGCTGTGAGAGGCCTTTAGGCTCTAGGCCAATAAACTCTATAATACCAACACGATCCAACAAGAATATGTGACCAAACCATGTCCAGGGCAACGGCATGTGGTGTGATGAGTGATGGATGGATGAGTTATACATGCTTTGTACTTGGTACTTATTGAGTTATATATATATGTGATGTGCAAGTCTTACTGCCCGCATTCAGCTACTCAATGACTACACATCAGTGTGACGTGTCTTCTTTGTGGTTCAACTGCGCCTCTGAGCATCTTTCTTCATACCGCGCTTTTGCCTCCTGCTCCGACATTTCTCGCAAAGAACTGTTCTCCGAGCGATGCTTCACCTCGCGACAGAAATGCGTAAAGTTTACTCAACAAGCCGCACTTGTGCTGAGCGTACCCGTTACCAGTGTAACTATGTGTAACTATATCACATTATATCACTATAATCACAAACGGTCCCCATGTACTGATTCGTAGCCGATTTGATGCAGCTTTTCGCACATGCTTACACTGCAATCATTCAGGTCCATCAGCTTTTAAGCCTGAAAGGATCTGAAAGGGCAGGCCTTCTTGAATGCATCAAGAATCACCTTCCGAGCTGGCCGCTGCAAGTGCCCCGCCGTTCGATTCAAAGCAGAGGCGGCCAATTCAAAGAGTTCCTTGTCCTCAGCTCGATGCCGACACAACAAGGGGGGTCTGGCAAGGGAAATAGGTTGTCATCTAATTATCTCATGACATCAGGAGAAACAGGAAAGGTAGAGAGTCACCAGGAATATTAAAGCCGCAGTATCTAAACGCAATAGGGCTGTGTAACAGCTGCGGCTTGCAAAAACTGCTAGATGCCAAAGCTGTGCTGCACAAATGCGGTCGTATGTCACACGCATGCTCTGCATAAGAGTGGCCAGGGTGTCAAACCCGTGGTGTCTAAACGCAAGGCTGTGTGGCAGCTGTGAACTGCCTCTGTGCCGCACAAATGCGGTCGTATGCCACATGCGCGCTCCACATAAGAGTGGCCTGGGTCGTGAGGAGAGGTTGCTGCATGTGGTGTGGTGAGGTTTGTCAGCACGGCTTTGCGTACAGGCTGTGTTGCGTCAACGCTCCTTTGTGTATAGAGCTATATATATATATATGGTGTATGAACGCTGGCTTGCGTTGCGGCGTGTAACGCTGGCATGTGTAAGAGCTGTGGGCTGCGGTCCCAGAGCTTCGCGCGCTTTGCAAAGACCGCAAATGTGCATGCATTGCGCAACCTCCTTGTCGGGGCATTGCTGTTAGCTGCCAGTGAATAGACGTCATGCTATGGTGGGCAATGCTAGTGGTGCTGGCGAGGTGGGGGCTCACCAAATGATTGATTAATCAATGATTGATTCATCACTATGGAAAGGGGGTCATAGAATTTATATATCAGTGTTTGGTCCCGAGCAGGCTGTTCAAGCTACCCCTTTGCTTCGCAAAGAAAACTCAAGGTAGCCCTTACCAGGCTACCTTTCGTGATCAGCCTGGAGTCATAGGCATTGACGTCTGCCAAACCACTCAGCACACCTCCGACATCATCGGCTTTCAGCTGTATGTAGCTACGCAAGTGAACCTGACAAGTGAAGGAAGAAAAACAACACTGGCAGTCTCTGCTCTGCACTTTTCTGCTCCTAGGTTCACACTGTTCATACATCTTCCCCACATTGAGGTGCTTTTCTCTTGCATTTGGTCAGTTGTAGTTTGGCCCCTCTCTCTCTCTCTCTCTCTCGCCTTCACTGCCGCGATGATATCAGCAAAGCTCTGCGAGTCAAAGTACTTCACTCGGGCACAAGCGAGACAAACTTGGGCCAACTCCGCCATTGGCAACCGAAGGATCTTCCCACGCTGCCGCTGCCAGGACCTCTGTTGCGGATCCCAAGGGAATACCGATTTGAGAGCCTTGCACCAATTACAGGGCACCCAAGTCCCGTTGTCATTGGCACTCCTGTCTTTATTGTTGCCTCGTTGTTTCCTTGACATTGTGTATCATCTTCATTTGTATCAGCTTAGTTTGATCCTCAGAACTTCCTTGCCTCCGTCTCCTGGTCACCCACTCCTTGTGCTTCGGTTTCCCAAAAAGTGCGAGCACTTCTTCGAGGCGGGGGGGCTTATTTGAAGCATGAGCTATATATCCTGCATCCCTAACTATGCAGTAGCTTAAGTAGCTAGGAGCTTACTCCCTTGTTTAAGTAGGCGCCTACTTCATTAAGAAAGGAGGCAAGGCCGAGCGGGTCAAAAAGATCGAAAAACCGGGACCGAAGGACCAAAAGACCGCCAGTCGGCGCCCAAGGCACTCCATGAGTCGCATCATCTGCACCAAGGACTGGACCTCTGAAGCACTCGAGGGGACCGCAATGGGCTCCTCATGCACTCAAGTCGTACAAAGACAGCGGCGAGTCCACTGTTTCAGTGTTGTCGCACTGAAAGTGGTTCATCTTATGGCCAGGAGCCCCTAGTAGCGTCCTTGCTCCTAGTAGGACGGCCAGGAGCCCCTAGGTGGCGTCCTTGCTCCTTTGATTGGGAGTCTTTCCGTTTGGGAAAAGTTGAACTCGAAAAGTTGAGAGTTTAAGACTGGTGCGCAGGCTTTCAACTTGCTTGATGCACGAGCAGGGACACTACTCTCTCTAGTCTACCATCTGTTCCCCTGTCCTCGTCACTGTCCTTCCTCCGTTCCTCTACGTCACTGTCGCTTTTCCTTGTCACTTGCCGAACGGGCGAGGACAAGGATCGATCAACAAGCAAACACTCGCAGCAAAAGACCTTTCAGTGTGAATGATACAGTAAAGGACTGCAGTAAAAGACCTCTCCATGATCCCGGCACAACCTGAGAACTCTACCGAGCTAGCATTCCACGGCATGACCACATGACATGTTCTTTCTGCAGCCATAGGTCTTGGACGGCTTCTCCTGTGCCTTTGGGGAGTTCTTTTCTGCTTTGTCCTCTTCTGTTTCATTGCTGTTGTCTGAAGCTTCGTCGTCTGAATCCATCCAGGCAAACTCTTTCTTCCCTTGGCTGAGCCAAACGCAGAAAGAAAAATGCGGCAAAATGTTCCACACGTGGAGTCATAAAGCCAACATACCTGTCGCTTCGCGCAAATGTACAGGTACTTACTAGTTCTTTCCACAACCATTAGGTTTCATGCTCTTACGAGCATCGTAGCACGAATTCTTTCAAACAGGGCACGCCGCTTCGCCTTCCTTGCACCGACATTGCCCGGGGGCCCATCTCGGCCGTCTTCGTCCCGTGCGCGGGAGGAAAGCCGGCCAAAGGTATCCTTCTTTCGCCCAACGGACGACAAGCTGCGATGAATGAACAGGTTCAGTGCTCGGAAAAAGGCATCATGCAAGAGATTATCTGTTAATTATATATATATGTGTGTGTGTGTGTGTTTTTAATGCATGCCGCTCCTTTCAGAGTTGGACCGTCACTTTCAATACACGTTATTCAGACTTAACTCTACAAGCTAGTTCTTGCTTTTCAATCGGTAGCTTCCAGAAGTTGCTTTTTGCGGAGTGTCCTCCTCTGGCTCTGGAGAGGCACAGCGAAGCGGAGCTTTCACCTCAGTAGTGAGTCAATGCCCCAAAGTTTGTTGTCTGATCCTGTTTGGCTTGTTTGTCTTCCCTTCTTGCTTCCAACATCTGCCGTCTCTGTGCTTTGAACAAGTATGCCCCCTCTTCTCCCATGGCCGCTCACACCCCAAAGCTTTATGACCAATGCACTCCTGACCCATCCTGTCATGTCGCCTTTCCAGATGTGCTGGGCTTCGCCATCTTCGCTTTGCGAAGTCAAACGCATGACATCCCACGAAAGCGACAATCAATATTCGGGCCCCAAGCTAAAACAAGCCTTACTACTGCTGTTGGATCATCTGGATAGGTTGCCTGTTGAATTAGAGTGCGTCTGAGGTTTAAAGAAGGCAGTGTAAGAGTGGCATGACTCGATCGTCAAGATCCTTGCACCTGAACTTCTACAAAGGGCCGCTTGAGGAGAGCGCTAGCGGAGCAGGTCGTCACCCGTGTTTGACTCCTTAATTCTACTGCTTTCAACTATATAGGTCTCGGTGTCTAAAAGTAAGGCGTGCCTTTTTGCACAGGACAAATCCAGTGTGCAAAGCGAGGAGAGACACATGATTGGTCGGCTGCTGGCTCGAACTCCATGGCTACATGCGATATAGCATGTACCCCTCAAACTGATTCTGCTTCAAGACATTGCCATCACCACCACGCAGGTACTTGTCCAGAAAAGCCAAGCCATATGTATTGATGATCTCATGTTGCTTCGTGATGTCCAGTGCCTCGTACATCTCTCCAGGCTTTGTAAGACTTTTGCTTTCACCGATGCCATTTCCGTATGCTGGATTGTACAGGTCGCAACTGGTAAAGCTGCAATGGCCTCCCAGCTTAATCTCCAACAAATAGCTGGAACCTTTGGGCTTCAAGGCATATTCGCGACAGGCATCGTTGCCCTCAGCACCTAGCACCGTATCCTCTGTTCCGATCATCATCATCACCGGTGTCTCAAGGTTGCTTCTGTCTTTCATAATACGTCCGCCCGCAGACATCAAAGAAGGACACCTAGGCGGAGAATGGCGGAGAGCCGTTACTGAACTGGTTGGTTGGCAGGAATTGGCCAGAAGCTTGTCAGTCAACCAATGATGGAATTGCGATCTGAAAGGTTCTGAGGTGCCACTTTGGTCTTCACCAACAGCCAAAATCATTACAGTAACTGTTGTGACTGCACGGGTATGGCTCTGGCTCTGTCTTTGTTGTCGTCGTATGTTCGAGCTCTTCCCCCTCCACACCGTGGTGAGTTTGAGCATTTCCTGGGGGGGCGGCCTCCCTAAATGTAAGCTACGTTTCCCCACCCTCCCTCCAAACGTAGGAAAAATGTGTATATATATTGAAGGCTAAATGGAGGGTGTGTGGAGAAAGGGGGTCAGCAAAAATGGCTTATACGAAGTTAGTGCATCAAAAATACCTTCCACGAAGTTCTGCGAAGGTTTCTGGGATTTCGTTGCAGTCAGTTCTCCTACTGGCCCACCATTCCACGAACTGTCCACGAACAGCCTTGGGTTCTACGAAGGTCACGCGCCTTCCACGACGTTAGTAGAATAGGTTTTTGCAATATATCGCATGTCTGCAGGTCCCTCCTCGTTCATGTAGACAGGGGGTGGTGATTTTCCAAATGCACTTGCACGCGTGTCCAAATATCATCAAATATCTGTATGTGCAGGTGCGCACGTGTTTGTTGGGGTTGAGTTCAGGTTGATCTTCTCTTTGCGGTTTGTGCACGTGCGCGTGGGTGCGGGCAGGAATTTGCAACTCTACATGATGACGTGAAAGGTACGCGGATTTAGCCCCCAAGGGCCTCCCAAGCCAAACCATCTGCCAAGCCACATCATCACGGCTGCCTTAATACGGGAGTCTCCCTCTTCCAAGCAGCTGGCTGCCGACCACCCACCAAATGACATCCCAGTGACGGCTGTGTTGTTCACATCCACCCGGCCGCTGAAACGGCTGTCCTGGGCATCGGTCGTCCACCCGACCTTCCCACACCGTCCACACCTTCCGGCCAAAATGGAAAACAAATTTTCTGGCGCGAGTGATTGAAAATGGCTATGACGTTATGAAGCTGGCACATGTGTCTAGCACATGAAGAGAACCCACTAATGCACATCATGACTCGCCCAGTGGGCCAGTGGGTATGTAGGAAACAACCAGAGGGAAGAATGATGGACACAATGTACACATGTCTTGAACACAAGTGCTTTGGTTATATATTAAGTAGAAGTGCTATATAATTCAAACATAGGACAGTATATTTGTTCAACATGATTCAACTTCTGTATGACCGAACCCTCTCGAGAGCAGCGTCCTGGCCATTTGCAAGCTGGGACATCGTGTTGAGCAAAAACATCAAGTCTTTAGGCCGATCTGCTTCCATTTGCGCTCGCTCACTGCGGGCCCCACCTGGCTTGACCACTTGTCCATTGACCTGCGTATAGCGCGCACTGCCAGGATGATCACAGGCCATAACGATGAAACCCTGAGAGGCTAAGAACTCAGTCCAGAAAATGTAGCTTGCACGATACGCACCAGAACCATGGGAAAAAATCACTAAAGGCCATCCATGCGAAGTACTGGTCTCCAACGGATCTCTGACTCGAGCGTCTCGAACCGCTTCGTTGGGCCACGTCTCGTCCAGCTCTTTGACAGTGAGGCCACTGCGATATCCTCCAATGGCATCTTTGTCTTCAGCTGCCTCGATACTGCCAGGAATAACACCCCGGCCTAGGAACTCTGAAAAGCGGTTGGGAGGCAAACCCCTTGTCTCATCGGTGGCCGGATACCAAATCTCTGTCTGCAAACTTCTAGGTCTGGACTCTTCTTGTCGGCTTACATCATTCAGTTGCATGGTGGTGACGCCCACTGGATAGGGCCCTGGTGACAAGCCAGTGACACGTGCCATGGGGGAGCTCATGGCACGCAGTGCAAAGCTCTGCGGCTGAAGCAGCTTCCAAGAAAAAGCAGCACAAAACACACTTCCTAAAGCTCGCCTGCCCATGGAAAAAGCGGCGGCTCATGGCTGCAGAGTCTTGAAGCCAGAAACATGCACCACACTCATCCACGTTACATGCACGTTACATGCCCTTGTGCTTGAAAAATAGCTCCATAACAGCCCCGCCCTTGCGGGGATTTCTGGTCTTATGTGGCCCCAAGTTTGACCCAAAGATGCTTCGCAGCCGTCCTGAAACGCAGAGACGAAAGCCCCTTCCACAGAACCTCAGCCGGAAGTTCCACAAGGCAAACCACGGACTTGGGTGGAGTTTTGTGTTCCTTCGCTGAAGTAAAGAACAGCATCGCTCGAGGGGAAATCGCAGCTGTTGACAGTCATACATGCTGGTATATAGATGTTGCTACTGGCCTGTTACTGAAGGGTATTTTCAACCTTGACCTGCAAATGCCTCATGTTTTGAGCCAAGGGCAGTGAAACATCTGGTCGAAGAGGAGAATGCCAAACCTGACCATGTGCCGAAACGAAATACTGTTCATGCCGATGCCGATGCCGGATTCCCCTGAAATGAACTGAAACTTGAATTCAGGGATCCCCTTCACAACTTAGAATTCTCATTCACAAATGTTATATACTGCATTCTCAGAGAACTCTGTCAATGCTGAAGTAACATGCGACCTTCCAAAGCCTGTTGGCCTTCAGAGAGCCGGTAGGTGACTTATCGAGCTCCGCTCAGCTTCAGCCAAGGCGCAGATCCCTGAGAATGGCGCCTTCACAGTGGATACCACATTGAAAGCTTCCTCCATCTTCAGTAAAGTAGTGCTGCATGGCCAGCTCTTCAACTGTGAGCTCTTCCAAGCGAAATCCTTGACAAGCCCAAGGAGAATGAAAAGCAAACCTGCTGGCGCCTAACAGCAAATCTTTGGACAGCGCCTTTCAACCCTCAAGTGTCACCCGGACCATTGCCATCCAGGTCTCCATCAAACATCCTTCTGCCACATTTGCCGCTGTCGGGAGCTATTTGCGGTAGACCCAGTTTGCTGGCGCTGAGGTTTCGAACTGGTCCTACCAGTCATCGTACTGATAAAAGAGACAAGCACGAGACGTCGAATCCAGTTTTTGGGCGAACAAAGCAAAACAACACAAAATCCCTTATGGACTTCAACTCCCCCACCTGGCCAGGCCCTTGAAGGTCAAAAGAAGAAAAAGAAAGAACAAAGAAGCGAAGCGAAGAGAAGAGAAGAGAAGGGAAGGGAAGAGAAGGGAAAAATGGAAGAGAAGAGAAAAATGGAAGAGAAGAGAAAAATGGAAGAGAAGAGAAAAATGGAAGAGAAGAGAAAAATGGAAGAGAAGACAGCCTGCCCCCGCACACCACGAAAGCACGCACAAAGTTCTACGTTCCCAAGCTATGTCCTGTAGCATGGTCCTCCTCTTCAATCAAGCGAGATGCCAAGTCCGAGAGCCATTTGCCATCACTGGCCTAAAGCCAAGTCCATGGCGATCCAACTAGTGGTACTACTACCTGAAGGGTTCAGGGAACTGCCCAATGAAAGCCAATCTTCCGTATTGGACCACCTTGTGCTCATCTCAGTGCCCCTCTCTCTCAAGTCAACTGCCCGAGTCAGCCAGGCCGCATCTTGCCTGGCAGCCTGCCCACAGACTTAAGCTTGCAAAGATGCTCTCAGCATGACACTTGCTCAACGTGTTCAACATTGTTCAACACAAGTTGTGGGGAATACACAAACAACAAGCAACAGGTCCGGGTCACAGAACACTTAAATTTATATGAATAACCTGTTATAACTTATAACCATGTAGTATATTATATAGGTTGCTCCAGCCTCTGTTTTCTGGAGCCGGCTCTTCCAGGCATTCTTGGCTTTGCCAGTCTGGCACGCCTGCCTTGCCAGGGTGCGGCATCTCCGCGCGAGATCCCAGCCTTAGAACTTTTGTCTGACGCGGTGTCGCGCATCACCAGGTCTGGAATAGGAAGACCCTCCAGCAACTGTTGCACGCTGGCCTCCCCATTCTGATGCACATCCCACTTCCAACTGCGAAGTTTCTGTGCAAATAGAGCGGCATCCATGATGCAAGCAGCATGGGGGCAGCAAGCACACATCCCTGCTCATCCCTGTCTTTGTTTGGTGGGACCCACTCACCCACCCACCCACCATCTACTATAAATAAGAAATCATTGTCCATCCCACCACAATTCATCAGGAAGCCTGGGAAACTGTGTGCGAAAGACCTGAAAAGACTATATAAAGCCTCTGCAAAAGCCTTCGCAAAATGTTTGAAAAGCAATGGATTTTGCTAAGGTCCTTCAAGTGAAAGCTGTTTATTATTTTGGTCGTGGATTGAAGCCCCAACCTTAAGCATGGTCCAATTTCTTGACATGTTACTTGCTCACATACCGCCCCGGAATAGCTTCAACAATGGGGCACCCATCATCCATGTAGTTTGTTCTTGAAGTAGCTTTTTGTAGCGTGTGTCAGTTGGTCTAAGTCCATGGCGTGCATCCCTAGGCAAGACTCGCAGCCGCTCATCGGGAGTTCCAACAACCTTGGCCAGTTGAAACCCGAGAAAAGATGGGTGGCGCTGATGTATACTGCGCACTCTGCCAGCCTTCACCCACCACTCCTACAAAAGAATTCTGCGTTGTCCTTCTGCATTCTGTGGGTGTAAAGAAAAGAGTCTGAATACATCTAAATACTCAATCGCAAGCGTCCCGTGTCAAGATATCAATGCTAGGTATGACATTCATGTTTCTGGACAGCGCCGTCTGGTCACTTCTGAGGATTCATTTACTTTAGATGTGTTTCGACAAGGAGTCAACTCCCCTCACAAAACGCCTCCTGTGAAGAGGCAACTTCGCTGGTGAGATCCACCGCACTTGCAGGAGCCTGACGGGCAGTGGAGGGAGGATGCTTCAGGCAAGCCATTTCGAGGGAGACCGGATGTAAAAGAGGGATCTCGGCCACTAAAGATTACAGTGCAGTAATTGTTTTATGAGAGATTATGTTCAGCAGGTGTTGTCTGCCCCCTCCAAGGAAATGGTATCTTGGCAAAACTCTGGCTGGTGCTGCACGCTTGGGACAGTTTCTTCAAGTTCCTGATCTAATGCCTCAAGCCAATGCCCTTCAAGTTTGTGACAGTGCGGGCCTTGGGTAAAGGATATTCAGAATCATCTCAAGACGTTGCATGGGTTTGACCAACCCGGCCCGGCCCCATTAAGAAAGATCATATGTATGTGGGATTATGTGGGAATAAAGGTAGGTGCTAGGGGTTGGTCAAACCTATAAGTAGACTCGCCGTGTGCTCATCGCGTTGAATCTGTTTGCTGCAACGACGGATGTGGGAGTTTGCTTGTGCTCGTGCGATGGTGCCTAGATCAAAACCACAGAAGTGCAGAGAATGAAGTTGCATCTCTGCGCTAGGTGCGCCAGCTACCCCCCCGCGAGCATCCGCACGAGCACCTTGCCAGAGCGACACTTCCATTGTACCACTGTCAGCTTCGCAAATAGTTATTTTAATATATTTTAACGTAACGGGAATTCACCTTGCAAGGAAAACCCAAATATGTCCAGGGATAGCGTGTAGTTTGAAAAGCATGCAGCTAGACAGATTCCGCCTGAGCTGCTCTGTGCTACGGTTTCTAAGTCTAGGGCTACAAAAAGAAGCCATCTGCTAGAGGATCTCAAAGCCGAAGGGGACACTTCGGCGAAGAAGGAGCTCTGAAAATCCAGGAACGCATTGGCCCTGAAGCTCACACTCCGAAGGGCCGAAGGGTCGAAAAGATCCTTGTCAGCCTCGGGGAAGAGAGGCTTTTGGTACCACTGGGGAGCAGTTGCGGGGCATGGAAGCCAAAGCAACTGCATCCGAAGCTTTGTGAGTTTGGCCATGTAACAGATCTTTAAAACGGCAATAAATGCCTGTGATGCTGCCAACCAAGTTTTGAAAACCTCGACAAATCCAATGCCAAGTACGCTTGGCGGGACATGTGATGTGTGAAAGCGATGCTGGATAACCTCCTGGAAAAGGCAACAAAAGGGCAACTGTTGCTGGAACACAGTCTCGAACCTTCAGCAGAAGATGAAGAAAGAGTCGGGTTATATAGACCCAATGGATGCATTGGATTGGGTTTAATGACGCCTTCATTGCCCGAGGACAAGTTCTCAAGAATGCCAGAGATCTGGAGCTGTGAGCTGGAAAAAACGGTTTCAGAAACAAGCAGGGGTGCATGTTTCAATGTGCAGTCGGTGACGGCTGCTGATGATACAGGTGTAAAATGCTCAACTCGGTGCAAGGCAAACCAGCAACCAGGTGCAAGGCAAACCAGCAACCTGCTGCTGAATTGCGGAATTCTACATGGGGGAGAAAAGGTGTAGAGAAAGAAACGTTAGAACTCATTCCGGGAATTTGAACGCATTCCAAGCGCCATTGAACTCCGCAGGATTCATCCCAAACGCGTGGTGGTCAGTCAGCATCGCTTGAAGCCCAATGCGCACTTCCAGCTTCTTAGGAGTAAAATCGTAGAAACCATGCCATGTGGGGAGGTATTGTTCCGAAGATCTTCTACATCAAAGTCGCTTACAGTAGCGCGGACAATTACATCTCAACATCTCAATATCTCACGGATCTCTCACGGATTCTGATCAGAATGGATACTGAGGTCGCTGCCACATCCATCCCCTCAGCAAGGCCACGGGCTGCGAGTTCCAAAGCTTCTGCTGGGCCTTCGCTTCGTGCGAGCTCTTTGGCCAACTCCTGGGGCGTCGTACGTCACAACCAAAACGTCTGATCAAGCCTGGGACCCTTCGAAGGTTCAGCCTGGGGGGCTCTATGAGTCGGCTGCCTCAAAAGAAATATACAGTATACAATTATATATATATAAGTATATATATATATACCTGGATCTTCCCAGTGACCTTTTGATCCCCTGGTTTGAGGTCACTTTAGGCTTGTAAAAGGCCACTTAGGGACTCCAAAAAGGTCACTGGGAAGGTCCTGGCAGTCCAATTTTTGTTGGATCTATATAAATGGATTTTCACATCAACAACACGTCGTTCTCATCGGCATCTATGAGATTTGCTTCTTGGGGCTACTTCATTTGAATCGCCTAGATGATCTAGATGTGTAATTATCTTTTACCCCCTTGTCGGGCCATCTTGAAGAGCTTCCCCCCGAGCTCCGCCATATGGGATGCCTGCTTGCTGCAGCAAACTGACAAGAATAGACCTGCGATCACTGTCAACGTGCTGGCAAGTGGCAGCATACCAGCGACCACGTTTTGCAGGGCAAAGCTTTGAGCTTAGCAGCAGCTTGAGCCGCCGAATTTTTGCGGCTTGAAGCTCTTGATCATGACCTGATCAGGAAAGTACCATCTGCTGGAACAACTTCGAAGCCAATGATGGGTCAGCTTTACTCAGTACTCTTCGAATCCAGACGACCAGCCTACAGCCGGAGAGTTCGTAACAGCGTGATGAAGTGCCTGCAGCAATGCCAGGGAATCAGGGAACCCTCAAACGCAAACAATCAAAAACATCCGTGACTGCAAATAGATTCTGTGGATGATATGTCCTGCACAGTGTAGATGCATAGTGTTTGATCAATCTGCAAGAATCCTGTAAGTGAGCAGATTGACCTGAGCCACTCAAATCCGTTTCCCAAACTCTGCGGCCATCGATGGTCATTTGTTGAGGAATGCTGAGGACGACGCTGCGAAGCACCTTCCTTTACTAATTATTGTTTCTAATACAAAAATTGTTCCTAGTAGTAAGGCCAGGAGCCCCTAGTACCGTCCTTGTTCCTAGTATCCTAGTAGCGATGCCCTTTGCTCCTAGTAGCGTCATTGCTCCTAACCCTTCGTGGGCGCCTTATTGAATTCCTTGAAACATCTCTCCAGCCTTGGAGGCTCTTGGGGCTAACAGGCAGCTCCATCCCCACGCCTCGGCGTAGCGCCACGCCGCGGTAAAGCGGCGACGAAAGGGGTCGCGCAGCTTGGCCGCCTCGAGTGGTCGACATGGGCACCGCCGTGCCCGTCGCTGGCGACAGGGTCGTGGTCTCATGTCCTTTTTGGAGGAGTCGTTTCTTCGGGTGCCCTCTTTCTCTTTTTCATGCTCTTTGGTTTTTGGGGGGGCTTGCTCTTTGGGCATCGGTTGTTCCGACCTAAGACCCTTTTGTTGGTATGCACAATTCCCGGACATGGACTTCTAAGGGCAAAGAAAGCTTTGGTCAAGTTTTGCAGCAACTCGTACATTCTCTAGACACAAGTGTGAACGATGCATTCTTGTTCGCACCGGGCCTCAAAGTCATTTGCCACGGAAACCAAGGCCCTTTGCAAACCTTCCTCCGCTGCACAAGCGTCCTTCTCGGCCCCCTCCAAAGTATAGCGCTGAAAGTCCTGGTAAGCATGTGATCTTATCAAAAGTAATGATCAATCATGCAGCATCTAAGCCTCTAAGCTGGTGTAACAGGTCTCTGGTGTTTGACTGACGAACATGTGCATGCATGCATATTGTGCTAAAGAATGTCAGCATCCACGTTGCACAAACGGTAATTAACATACGCAAATAAATTGCTATTGCAATCTACTTGCATACATAAAGCACATCTTCTTTTTGGATCTGCCGCCCAAGCCACACTCTCGCTTCTGCAATCAAACACAGATTGAGACTTGCAGTAGTCCCCATGAATACAAAAAAGAATGGTCGCATCACCCTTAATACATCTTAATTTTAATACTACAACTTATGGTATGCTACTAGGGGCTCCTGGCATCGCTACTAGGAGCAAAGACGCTACTAGGGGCTCCTGGCCTTACCACTAGGGGCTGGAGCTCATCACCGATCCATCACTCCGAATTCTGCCTCGCCAGTCATCGATCTTGCAGCCACAAAGGCGTCGAGAGAGTCACGGTCGGTGAAGAGAGGCTTCGCCTCCTCTGCTTTGAGGACCGAGGCATTTCAGTGTTGTCAGTTGGCTTTCCAGTTCTCATCCAATGCTACTTCAATGAGTCAACTCTCCAAGCCCTGTGGGAGGGCACTCCGTGCACCACTGAAAAATGTCTAACTCGCAGGGACTGCGGGGAGCGGGCCGTCCTGGAAAGAAAACTGTGGCCACTTGGTGGTGAAAAGCACATAGGAGACCTCTGCAGCTCCACCTGGATCAAATCAAAAGCTGCCTAGTGGTTGCCTAGAAGAAATGACTTGCAGCATCATGCATCGCAAATGTTGGCTAAATCAAAGATGTGGAGAATCCCGGGGGTTCCAAGAAAGAAACTGGGGGTTTTATGCTGTTTGCCGAGTCACAGCTTTCAATGCGAAAGAGTTCCCCTAAGACCATCAAGGCATGACGGCCCATGGAATCGGCACAGCACAGCCAGCGCCCCGAGCGGAGGGCTTGTGAGACCAAGGCCTGGCTCGAGCACAGCCCGTGTGACATCAGTCCGATGGACACTTACTCTTCCTTTTTTGCTAGCCCGCCCTTAGTTCAGTTGGCGCCTACTTAATGAAGTTCGGAGGTAAGCTACTAGCACTAGGAAGCTCCTAAATAGAGAGCTCTAGGAGCTCCTAGGAACAAGGCGCATAGCTCACGCTTCTTCAAGAAAGCTCTCACCTGAGGGCGGGGCGGAGCTTCCTTGAAGAAGCGCTCACACTACAGTAGTGATGTGGTTCCTAGATTTTTAGTGAAACTTTACTTGACTCTGGTCAGTTGGTTTTTTGGATGCCTCTATGCCATCTGTGTGTGGCTTCTTGGAGACTTGCAGCAAGCGCTGCTGCTTGGCCGCTTCGCAGAGCTTCTCCAACAACTGGCTTTTGCCACAGCGCTCAGCCAAGCCCAGTCCGCGGCCCATGCGTCTCAGCTCTCCGACAGGTAGAGCACTAAGGAGCAGCTTGCCAAAGTTCTGGCCACAGAAGCAAGATCCATTGGCGAAAAAAAACAGCATGAGGACAAGACCTTTAGCAAATCAGAGTAACATAACAGGGTTCAATAGATCGAATATGATGATGGATCGAGTGCATCATGGTAATTAGCCCAGTCTGCCAGCACTGTTCGAGTGCACTGATTGGGTTGCGGCGACGTGCCAACGGTCCTCACAGCTTGATACGCAAAGCGGCCGTTGAAGCAAGCTTGATGCCGTTTCCCGTGCAGAATCCAGCAGCCATGGACCATTGGGAGGTGCACATCGACTGTCAATTTGGTCCAGCAAAGGCCCCCAACTTCCGGATGTTGTACGCACAATTTGCGGCAACGGCTGGGCAAGCTCAGATGCAGCAATTTGCGCCTCCTCCTCGCCCAGCTCGCGATATCTGGCACAAGTTTGATTGCCAAAACATCTTGGTCATGTCACATCCGTTGAGATCCAATTCAATTCACTCCCCGCACCCCACAAAATTGAAACTAGTGATGCAAGACTCAAGACTGTGATGTACTGTCGCGCCTAGCTCCCAAGCCCTTTGCTGGGACCCATTGCGGCCACTTTCTGCAAAGCAAGCGTGCAAAGAGTTGCTGCCCCGAGAGCGAGAGCGCCCTACAAAACTGCGTCAATTCTTGCAAGACATGTTTGATTATGTCATCTTTTGTTTGTCTCGAATCATCTCGAATCTCTCATCAGGTCCCTCCTTTATCCTCTTTTGATCTCTTTTGCTTGCTTCTTGATTCTTGATTTGCTGCCATGTAGCTCAAAGGCACGTAGTGCTTGAACCTCCTCTTTTTTCAAAAGGTGCCCATAGCGTGGCAGCATGGCAGAGACCACGCGGCGCCTCAAAGGGATTTCCAGGCCATAGCCTGTGAAAAGGACACATGTGCCGGCCTTGCACTCCTCTGCCCCCACCTCTCCCCCAAAAAGCAGCAACGTGACAAAAGAGAAAACAAAAGGAGTCGCGAAACTCTGGTGTCTTTTGGGCCATGAACTCTGCTTCGGTCCATCGATTCGCGTCGCGACCAATTCCATCGATTCGCGGACTCCCTTGGAGCTGAGGCGCAAGTCGCGCCTTGGTGATCCGCTGCGTTCGTAATTTCGCAAATCATGGAGAACCACTGGAACCACTAGGAACAAAAAGTAGTATTTGGCTGAGTGCCCGTCAGTCCCCAGCTTCCCTCTTCGAACTTCTAAGCTGCTAGCTATATCACTTGCAGAAAGCCACGCAGCTTCATCTTCTCACCTCTCACTGTGGCCAGTCTCCGAAGTTCAGAAAGAACGGCCAAGCCACAATGTGTACCCCTCTACCAGCTTGGAGGTGCTGGAGATTGGCTCCTCATGTTGATCCTCCGCGATTGAAGGTCGCACTGTCGCCTGCGGAAAGGCAATTGAAGCCTCGTCACCGATTTTCGCAGCTTGACCCACACCAGGCCTCAACAGCTTCTGGGGCCGGAGGAGTCTCGTTCAAATATGGCACTTTCCCATCTGTGAAGGCCAACCTGAGAACTTGTATCTTCGGCGTTCGATGACGTGATCACAAAACAAACAAGCTAAGCAAAGTAGCTGTGGTGCTTCCATCCTTTCAAGTCCACCTGCTTAGCACGTTGCCCTCATCCCAGCACGGTTGGTGTGACACTTCTCACTGAGGCTAGGGCAACGTCTGCCGTTTCGGAGGTGGCCCCTTTGCGCAAGCAAGCGTGTTTATACAGCAGGGATTGAATGCGAAGCGAATTTCTAGGGCCACCTCAGGCGCCAAAGCAAATGGCCTCTTTTCAGGTCGTTTGTTCTGTGTTCCAGCCCACAAGGACGTGGGTGTGGCCCGACTCAACGGATCTGACTAGGTTAGCAACATAACTCACCATGAGACTGGCACGATCGAGTTCTGGAACGAAAGCATGATCAACTCAGTTGCTTCGATGACGGACATCGCCGGACCGCCTCTTTTCTGGAGCTCTCTATCTTGCCACGCTTGGCCTCGGCAAGATCCCAGCCTGATCCGAGCTCAACATGTTGATCAGCCACATCACTGCAACAAAGCACTTGGGTGTGTATAGGAATAGGTGGAAGCCTCCAACAACTGGGTTTTAGTTGATCGGCTCTGTTCCCACAACACGCTCTCCCTGATTTGAATGCACTCACACCATTTCACACTTGCTTGTTGCAAATCTGCTCTGGTCGATAGAACAACTTCTCAGGCATAGGCCGTTGATTCCGGTGTAACCTCAGGCAGCGGGTCGGGTGGTGGTCACATGGAGCAAGCTCCCTATCTGAGGAGCCCGGCAATCACCTGGTCATGGTGCCGCTTTTTGGGCGTTGGCCGTGTTGGGTCGATAGCGGTGCCTCCAGCTAGATGCATCGCATCAGAAATGGTGCAGTGGCAGTGCTCGGCAGCATCTCTAGGCCCTTGCCTTCCTCATCTGAATCGGCCACATAACCCAAGTAGCAGGTCATGGAAGCTGCTCGCCATGAGCTGCTGGTTTCGTGAAGCCGAATCCTGTCGCTTCAATCATTTTGGGCCGGCTCTCCTATCGCGTATTGGCTTATTCACTGCTGTTGCTGTTGCTTGAGAACTAAATGGTGGGAGCCGTTGAAACAGCTGAAGCTGAGGAAATCCACGTGTTTGTTGACGGTCTATTCTCATGCTCTTAGATTGACTAGCCGCACCAGCCATGGACAAGATGACAAACAAAGAAACTGCAGCAGCTCGCCGGGCAAAATCTGACTGCATGAAACCCACACGCTTTACAGGTTTTGCTTCAAGGTTTTGGGATATTGAAGACCAACTCTTGCAAACAACCCCAGCGAAGCACCTTCAACAATCCAGTGGCTAGTAACTCCCCACTCTCAGTGTACATCGCAGAGTGGACCGCTAAAAACCCACCATCTCATCGCCAGCACGCGCGACAGAACCCACGGAGAATGAGTTCAGGGCCCACGATGATCTGCAAGGCTTGTCAGGATCACAAAAGCGCGCCTCAAAGGAGCGAAGTGAAAGGATTCCCGAAGCTTCTCGTTATTTACTAGAAAGCTTTATATATCTTTATATACATAACTAAGAACCTCACAGACATTCTAGAAACTAGTAGCAATGGCCTCCAACCTAGTAGCTTCTTGTTACTAAGAAGCCTCAAACATGTTGCCTCAAAAGGAACGAAGCCATGGATTGATTTGCCAACAGCTCAAGTCTAAAATCTGTCCACACAAAGGACATCATGATCTGTATAGAATCTAACAATTGCCAGAATGAGAGCCTCAAGCCGGATACGCAGGTATCATCTCTTGAGCTACTTGTACTTCACGCGCCTGATATTGCTGCGCCAAAAGCTTTACGAGGGCACTTTCTCCATCTTCAAAGAAGAAGGAAGTCCAACCTCAAAGCATCTCAACTCACCAGGTGTCGATACGCTTCCAGCTCAAAAGAGTCCAGCAGAATGTCCTTCCAACCCTTCCATGTGACAAACTCGTCAACCTCAGTCTCCTGAGGGGAGGAATCATGTCGGGAGTAGCCGGAGTAGCCTAGTTCCGACATTGGCTGCCGGGCCCACCGCCGCGCTCACTGCTTCGTGGCCAAGTCCTTCGGTGGGAAGATGGTCTCAGTGACAAGTTTTGCCATTCGCAAGTTTCAGAGACACTTTGCTGTCAAGCCTTTGAAGTGAATGGTCACCGGCGCTGTAGTCATGTCACCTTGCGGTAGGATGGGCGAATGATTGCATGTTCAAGGCTGTTCGTCCTTTGTCCATCATTGGGTGTGAGTTATCATCCACCCTACCATCATCCCCCCCCCCCAAAAAAAAAACAACAAACATTGCTAAGTGATGAAACGTCATGAGGTTCGTCATTTCTACCCGGAAACAAAGAACACATCATGCAAGAATCCGTGCTGATGCTGCTGAAGTTGTTGAGGTGCTGGCCTTGGAAACAAAAGCCACCGCAGCCGCGCCTTAGTACCAAAAAAGGTTGTGTTAGGGTGCTCCTTGTCTGAGTGATGCTTATAGCTTAATAGTATAGGTTGTAATTTCATAGCAGTATGGGATGCACAGGAATGAGGAAATGATTTCATTATAGATCTTTGGATCCATTCATTCCAACCACTGGTCGCACCCGTCCGTCGGGGCTCGGATGCGCACAAGGTGTGACATCTGGCCATTGCTTCTTGGACAGTCATGGTCTCCACCTCAAGGTGCAAATGATGAACATGTTGGTGATTTCTTTTGGCGTCGTTTGGAGTCGCAAAACCAACATAGAAGTGGAAAACATGTCGGTTGTAGACGGAACATGAGGGAACTAGTCTCCCAAAGGACTCTGCAGCACTTCAGTTTCTGTCTTTGGAAGGCAGGCAGAAAAGGGCTCAAGATTGCTGAAGTGAATACTTCAGAGCTACTTCGGCCCCAGTCTTCAAAGAAGACGCTCGCGCGCTCCCTCGTCTTTTGCCATAGTGGCGTTGGGCAGCCCAAGCTGGCATCGACGCGAGAGGAAGCATCGATCCAAAGCACGTGCTTTCATTCGGAAGCACCGCGACAAACTCCGCTGCTCTGGAAAAAGACTTCTGCATATACTAAGGTGCAAGGCTGTTCTGGAGAGACACCATAGCAGGCCAAGATACGCCTTGAGGTGCAGTATGTCATGGAAGAACGGCAGATGGAGTGGCAATGCCCGAGCAGAAGCTTGGAAGAATGCCTGGATCAAGGAGAACAAGAGACCTTCTCAGGAGAAGCCCAAAAAAGAGAAGGGCGACAACATGGTTCTCAGGTACCACGACGGCTCAAAGATCGACACCTCCGTTGGAGGTACTACATCTTCGGGGTTGTCCTCGCAATCCTCTGGTTTGCAAGAAGAGAACAAGAAGCTGCGAGAAGCCATCAAGGCTTTGGCGCAAAAAACAGATCTTTCCACAGTAGAGTCAGCAGACGAGATCCGAAAGCTGGTGGAGACCGACCCCAGAGAAGTACTCCGCGAACAGCAGAAGGAGCTGAACAAACTCAAGAAGGAACTGACGAAGAAGGAGAAGATCGAAAAGCAGCTCAAGGAGAAAAAAGAGAGCCATGGAACCTGGAGATCAGGCATCTTGGAGGGGGTCAAACGTGCAGATGCCAAACATCTCGAAGAAATCAAGAAGCTCAAAGAAGAGCTCACTCAAGTGGAAGAGGAAAAGGACGACAAGGACAAGGAGAACATGGACACATCCAATGGGGAGGATGCAGTCGCTTCCAAGCTCGAGACCATGAATCGCCAGATGTACCAGATGGCCTCCTATGTGGAGACCATCGAGCAGAGGAACCAGGACTTGGCATATCAGGTTTCTATGCTGCTTACAGCGGTGAAGGGCAATTCGGAGGCGCTGCAACACGATTCTCCTCAAATGGTGAAGCCGCCAGTGACAACTCGATTAGCGAGTGTCTCAACAGAACGTACCTCGAGGAACTCGAGAGACAGGTCACGTTCTCCTTGTCGCATCGAGGAATTGGAGGTGAATGTCGATCCTCTGACACATCATGCTGTCAAAGAGGCTTTGGACATCCTTTCCCCAGAGCATCAGGAACATGTTTTGGCAATTGTTCGTGCAGAACCAGAAAAGTTCTCAACAGTCGAAAATATTGTCATTTTGACCCAGCAGATGATGGCGCAGGTGACGAAGATTCCGGAAGACATCAAGACTGGGACAGCTGGAAGGGGCCCTTTGCAGCCCTTTTGGAATTCCAGAGAATCATCCAAAGCGGGATTGTGTCGATCTGGCAAAGGACGTACCAAGGCCTTACCGATAGAAGAGCATTCTTCTGGAAAAGGAGAGACACACTCACCGCTCAATGCAATGACACTATGAGTGAATCAGATGAGGCCGATGTCTGGTTCAACATGGAGTGCGCCATTTTTGAAGGCAGCACCCACAGATTTTTCAAGATCGTCAGCGGATTTGGCACTCCTGTCTCACACTTGGGGAACAGTGTACGTTCCTTTAGTGGTCTTCCTTTGAGAATGGGGCAATGGTTGGCTGGCAAATATGAGGAGTGGATTATCAATGGCATGGGATATAGTCATTGGGATGAAACTTCGTCTTTCCTTTTACGCTGGTTAGGAATGCAGTTTCAGCACAGTTCGGCTGGCACAGATTGGCAGCATTTGTTACTGTCATGCGGACGAATTGACACTGGCTCCATTCATGAGGCGGCGCAATACCTTTTTGTGATTACGTTCATGACTCCATTACTGGCTTTGGTTCTTGTATGCTGGTATATGGAGCTTCGTTGTCTCTTTGGGAGTATATGCTTTCCCGCTGGCTCTCTGGGGCAACGTTCTTTGTTCCTGCAGCTGCACTATCTTTCACTGTTTCATGGGGTGATCTATACAATGGTGCATCTGCTATGGGAGCTTAGAGAGAGGGACATTGATGGCAATGATATGGCTGGGGCTGAATGGGGTGTGCATATCCTCGCAGCGATCCAAAAAGGATTTTTCTGGCTGTTTGCTTTGTCCCTGATGGGCTTGACTGGTGGATATGGGTGGATTTATTTTCGGCATAGACGTTCTATTCCTATGTCGACAAAGGCAAAAACCACCTGTTGCAATTCATCAGGAATGAAATTTATGAACAGGGGTCTTCGTGCTTTGATTGTGTGCACTTGTATTTTGAAGGAGGATGGTAATAGGATAGCGCACAATGTGGCCCCAAACATGCCTCGATTTGAAGGCTTTGATCTCTCTCCGCCTTGTGGAGATCATAGCTATCTCCTTCATCAGCATGATGGAAAAGAAGGCCTCTGCTCTTGGGAACACCTGGATTTGCCACTTGAGAAAGCACGGTCCTCTTGGCATGACGGGAAACTCAATCGAGCGGGACAATTTTGGGCAGTCTATGGACCATCAAGTGTCAATTCTGCCAATGCAATTTTGTCATCTGTTGTTTCCTTACCTCGAACTACAGGAAGGGACAGGTGCCTAACAAGAGGGCTTGGTGGCTCATACCCTCTGACCTGTCCTTTTCACAGTGACTTGTCGCACCAGCATGAAAAATGGGACATTCTGACAGAAGATTTCTCATTGATGCAAAGCTCCTCTTGGAGGCCCTCAACTAGTCGAGAGGGTTATCCTTCTAGAGGACATGATCTGGATGCAGCCTTGACCTCCATGATTACAGAATCCTTGCCTAGGGCATTCTGGCAGCAGATTCAAACGACACAGGAAGAGTTTTCCGATGTGCATTTGTACTTCCATGGATTGAAAGGCAGACATGTAGCGACAAGGACTTTGAGCGTCTATGGCAAAAAGAAAAAAATACTGCCTGGACTTCAAAATCGAATTGAAAGATTATGGCGTGACCACTTTGACCGAAGAGAATCTTTTGAGCTACATTATGTTGAGCCTCAGCCACAAAGTGCGGTGGTGAACGGACAAGTTCACGTGATTGTGGACTTATGGCCAAGCCTTCATGGTTTCCCTGTCCTCTCTCACTGGAC